AGAGGAGTGGGGGGGGAGGGGAGGGGAGAGGGAGGGGGAGGGAGGGAGGGAGGGAGGGGAGGGGAGGGAGGGAGAGGAGTGGGGGATGGAGGGGAGAGGAGTGGGGGATGGAGGGGCGAGGTGGCGGGAGGAAGGGGGATACAAAGGCCAGTTTTATTGAAGCCTTTTTATCTGGTTTTTGCTCATCACAAGGAAAGCCATAGGCTGCCAGCTGTGGTTGGTTGTTTGGAACTAAACTGTATATTCTCCTATTGTCTGCTTTGTTCTTCACACTGGAAGGATCAGGGCCCACAAACAGCTCTCACGCAGCCTCTAAGGACCCACAGAGGACATTTAGGAAAGACCCCTGGAGCTGTTTTTTCCCCCAGTTGTGCCCATCAATAAGTGACATTTGCTTATGTATTAACCAGGGTTCTCACTGATCACACAGATCTTTTTGCAGCAGGCTCCTGAGTTGAGGGAGGGAATCGCAGAAGAAGAGACAAAACCGGAATATTGGCTTTCAAAAGTTCATGTAAATGTTCCCTTTAATCCCGTTACTAGGCAAATAAGCTGAGAAAAGAGTAGAGGCCGTGCAGAGACGGTGAACATATTGACATTCTGACTTTCAAACTGAAGGGCTGAAGAATGGCAGTTCCCCTTGAGCTCACCCCTCGGCCCACACCTGCCCACTCGGGAGCCGTGTTTGCGTCTAGTCGGCCGCGGGGCGCGGGCACGGGCCGCCTTCCTCCAGCCCGCCTGGCGACTCGGCCGGGCTGGGGGCCTGCGTTTGCACAGACACCGTGCGGAGACCAGCCTCTGCTCTCTCCCTGCTCGTGAATCTACCTCACGCCACAGCTCCACGTTTGAATTTTCCCCAGACTGTGCTTTCGTCAAAATACTGTGCAAAGGTCATCTCTGGTTCGCTGAATCTGGTTCTTTTCTCATCGGGCACTCGGCCCATCCCGCCAGGCTCTCCCCTCTCCGCTGGCGGGTAAACCTTCCTCTGCGGCTCCAGCGGGCTCCCCCATCCCCTCAACAGACCTTCCACCCATCCTCCTGCCGCCTCTGCTTGCACCCTCACCCCTTTCGCACCCCACCCCAGGGCGGAGTCCACTTCCTCCACAGAGACCTCGCCTCCCCGGGGTCAGAGAGGCGCTCACAGCCAGGCCACTGCTCTCCAATGACTGGCCTCCGTCTTTCAATTCTTATCTTACTTATACACGCTTCTTTCCTTAGGTCACAGGATCTCCAAAAGCAGGCACCGTGCGGTCTGATGTGGCGGAAGGGGCACTGGTTTGGGGACTCAGGGAGACCTGACTTCAAACGTGTCCACTTTCTAGCTATGAAATGTCGGGAAAGTTCCTTAACTCTGAGTTCGGTTCCACCATCTGTAGAACAAGCCTAAACACATCAACTTCCTAAGCCTGCTGCGAGGATTCAATAAAATGAAGGATAAAAACTTCTAGATCAACACTGGCACTCCGTAAATGGCGGCTGTGACGACAGGGATCTTGACTCCTCGTACAACCCACGGCCCCCGACCGGTGCCTTGCGTGCGTCAGATGAGCAAGCCGGCCCCCTGGCTTAACAACAGAAATAAAAAGCCATTCGTTCCAGAGGAGAAGGAAGAGGGGCAGAAACAGGGGAATGCCTGGGTGGCATCTAGTTGAGAACCAGCCCAATTCTAGCCGAGGCCCGGGGGCGATGACGGGGGCATCCAGGAAAGGTGGGACGCGAGTATCTGGCAGCATCCGTGTCGGTTATTAGCCACAGGAAGGGCGGCTGTGCCGGGCGAAAAACACTGGCTGTGGGCACCAGGCGAGAGAAGCCATGGGAAAGTGAAATGTGAAAGGCCTTGGAGGAAGGGCAGGGCAAGGGTGTGCGCTGAGGACAGGGTTGCCAGCAGCAGAGGGAGACGGTGAAAGCATACCCAAAGGGGGACCTAGACGGTGTGCAGGGGGCCCAAGGGAGCTCCAGAGACGTGCCCGACACCGGGAAACATCCCGCCACGCGGGGGGATGGGCAGAGCGGGACTCGGGGGCCGGGGAGCCCGGGCACTCTAGCTGTGGTGGCATGAATGATAATGATGATGAAAATGACAGCATGGCAAGAAGTACAAACGTCAGAGCTCCCGTTCTGCCACAGGGTACACGTGCTCAGATCCCAATATTATTCTCACCGTCGGGCAGTAACCTGGTAGAACAACAATTTCCCCCAGTCTCTGGGTGAGAAAGTCGGGGCTCAGGGCTGAACGAGAGCCCGTGAGGGCGGGAGGAGCCGCAGGACCGGCTGGGATGGAGCATCAGGGTGGGAGGAGGCAACCTGGGGGCCCTCGGAGGTCCTGCCGCGCGAGGGGGAATGCCAGGGCTTGTGAGCCAGCCGTGACGGCACAGCCCCTCAGAGAAATACATCAGAGGGCAAAGAACATGCCTAGGATGTGCCTATGTTTTGGTTCTGACTGAAAACAAAGAAAACTGGAATTGCACAGATCTTAACTTTCCCGCGGCGGCTTTATGTCACGCCGACGGAATGTGTCTGTGACGGCGTTTGTGTCTCTGCCTTTCGACAAGGTCACAGCCTACGCACACGGCGCCGGGCACGGGGAGGACTTGCCGACCCCAGCCCGGCCCCTTGCTGACCCATGCGAGCTGGCCGCTCGATGCCTCCGTGTTCCACGTCCACAGGGCCGACACACGTGTCCCCAGGCTGCGGGAGGGTTACGTGACGTTCCCCGGCCAAGGGCCTGGCACA